ACCCTTAGATATAATTCTGAAATTAGTATCAAATTCATGCTCTTTGTATTTACCAGTCGAGTTACTCTTAAATTTATTTATTTTACTTTTTTAACTTTGAACCAATTGTAAATATTTGATACTGACTTATGAGAAGATTGTATTGTAATATCGTCGTATAAACAGATTACTGAATGTAGTTACATATATATATAATCTAATTTTTTTTTTACTTGGCAACAATATATTCAATTTTATTTTTATATTAATATGGCTCAAATTTCCGTTAATATTAGAGCAATATGGCAATGAATTTCTCGGCTTCAAAGATGAAAACAAATGATGGAGAATTTTTACCTTTTTCATATTTGATACAATATTCTTAGTTTTCAGTTGATACATATTTATTTCTAAGGTTCATAAATTGATATAAGCGTCAATAAAACATCAATTTGGTGGTTGATTCATCAATTTCAAAGTTGATTTTGCCATATTTCGTACATGATTCATCTATATCATAGTTGATTCATCAATTTCATGGGTATATTTTAAGTGATCATTGTTCAGCCATAGTAATAATACATTAACAACTTCTTAGCCTTCAAATTCTTCTTAATCGATTTTCGATCTGAAGTTATGCATCCTTTTCTTCCACCACCAATAGCGTTGTCCATTGAACTTAGGTGGTCTAGTTATTGAGTATTTGACCTTTGTCCGTATTCGATGGAGCAACCATTTGAAAAGATCCTTTCTAGGTATTAACCTTTTAGCGAAAACCTGCTTTGATACCAATTGAAGAGTTGTATGAGTCCCCGATAATAACAGGGACCAGGTCCCTTACTTGTTTCTACAACCATGAACAAAATGTATTGAAGATTGGTACGAGTTACCGCAATAGTGGTAGGAGATGTTGACTCATATGGATCGTCCCTGGTGCATACATGGTCCCTCTGAGAGACTGTTCCCCTTGAATGAACATTTCAATCATATAATAAATCGGCCTGGTGCATATATCATCCTTCATCTGGTTCCTCGATAAGTTTGTCAAATCAACATAATAAAGCATAGTACCGCAAAATTAGTGTCTCTATGTGTTCATTTAACTTAATTAAAAACGAAAAATAAAAATAAATTAGTATACTTTATAAAATAAGCTAGCTTAAAAATAACCGCAAATGTTTCCCCCCACTTCCCCCGGTGTGTGTATATATATTCTTTCGGTTTCCTTCATTAGTTCATAACGATTTTGTTTAACCGTTTTCTGGAAATGAGTAATTATCTGCCGCCTCGTCTGCCGGTTTTCTTTTTCCAGCATCATAGCAGGGCGGCGTACTTGATAATGGATCTTCATTACAGTAGTAATCGTGAAGAAGTTCTTATTCAACTCGACAATTTCATCAAACAGCCGAGAAGTGAATCAATGCGCATCAATCTTGGATATTACCTGTGGAAATCCTTCAATACAGTCAACAGAAGTGAATCAATGCGCATCGGTCTTGGATATCACTTGTGGAACTTGTTTGATACAGTTTACATACTTTTACAGGTACAACTAATTTCTTCAAATATGTTTCATACTTGAAATCTTGATCTAACTTAATTGAGTTTAGGAAGTAGCAGCAGTGTACCAAAAGTTCTTAGACTCAACATTAACCCTCAAGGAATCTGCTCGAGTTTGTAATGCCCTTACTGTATTTCAGGTAAAATACTTTTACATTTCTGTGCACACATAGATCATGATTTTCAGTTCATGATATGTAACAACTACTCTTTTATGAGTGCAGTGTATGGCCTCTCACCCAGATGCAAGAAAGTGGCTCGTCAAAGGTATGGATGATGGATGAGTTTCGTTTTACCTTTTCATTCTTTCAAGTCATTAAATGTATATGAAATGTAAATGTTCACAGTTGTGTGTTTCTCTGCATCCATTAGCATTGTCCTGTTCGATTTGCTTCGTGGATCGATTGAGATACGGAACAAGTAAAAGGGATCATAGAGTACTGATTTCTCTGCACTTCTATACTTTTTTTTTTTTTTTTGCAGAAAAAGTACAAGATTATCTTTACCCATTCCTCCAAATTACTCCAAATGTGATGTTGCCTCTGCAACTTCTGAGGCTTAGCATCTTCAATTTTATTGACGCCCTTACAAAGGTGATAATATAACTATTTTAGTACTGCAGCTATCGTAATATGATGTTCTGAATTCACTTTCTTGTGCAGTTTGATGAGTTACATGGGCATGAAATTCTTCTTTTATTTCTAGACACACAAATATTTTCTTCCTGTGTGAACTGCATTCGTGATGGTGATAAACCGATAAAGAAGGTTAGGCCTACCTTCATTTTCATCTTAATTCTATGACAGTGAAATTCCGATATAATCATTGAATGTGAGTCCATGAAACACAAACTTTTCGACTGTCTTTATCAAATTTTATTCTGAATTAAAAGTTGTTTTCTGCTGATTAAATGAAAAGAGTGTTGTGTGTGCAGGCTGCAACACTCATACTTATGAAAATCTTGATGCAAGAGGAAGGGTTAAGATATTGTTGTTCTCGCCCCGATGATTTTCTGTCAGTGATACGAATCTTGTGTCAACTTGTACGATCATTTTCTTATCAAATCCCTTGTTCACAGCACCTAAAATATGTTGTTCAATGCTTCCTAAGTCTTTTGCGGGTAGCTTGGGAAGACAGGTAATTTTTTTTGTCCCTGCTGCTCTTATGGTGAACTTGTCTCTAATTATCCAACATGATACAGGGTATATGAAACAGTGAGAGACATGCTTCCTCTACAGCTAATTGAAAACACTTTTCGCAATATTATTCATGTAAGTCCATCGTCTTCTTTCTTCCGACAGACACAACATCCCTCTAGCTAATGTTCAAAACCAAAATATACTTTATGATATTATTAATTTGCAGAAAGATCCAGAGATTCCAGAAATGCTGCATCAGTTAGTGTGGAATCTTAATCATCGACCACCTCAATAATTGCTCGGAAGAGGATTGACGATAGCAAATAGTGTTGGGAAGGAATTCAACAAACTTGCTTTACAGAATCCAACACATATACATATAATAGTAGAAAGAGCTTAAATTAGGAGTAATAGTTGTAAATATGTAAAGGTTTTGAGTATTTGAACCTATAACTAGCCTTACTGCTTGCTGAATGAACATTCTCATTTTACTGTAAGAAGTTACTTTCTAACATCACTCGCATCTAATGGAGGACTCATATTCTGGAGTTTCCACATCAATATGTGAGAATAATTTTAGCTCCTTGTAGATGCAAAAGGCCAAACATTCAATTGTCTTATCCTCAAACTTTTCACAGATGAATCTCCACATATTTATTGCGATCATGATGAATCTCCACATGCTCTTTAACTATTGAAGAGTTGTACGAGTCCACCGCAATTCAGGGACCAGGTCCCTTACTTGTTGCTACAACGTAACTATAAACAGAAGAATGTATTGAAGACCTGTATTAGTTTTCACTGCAGTAATGAGAACATGACTCCTTGATCAAGAAATTAAGTAAAATCACCATCTATTTCAGTAGGATTTTTTAAATCTCCACTAAAACATCGAGATTACTATCTCTTGCAATCTAGGAATTAAAATCTTAATCCCTCACTCTTACAATGTAAGCACTCTCTACATACAATAACTCCATTGTAAAGATAGCCAAGGCTAAATCTAGCCCAGAGAACTATAACCACAACTAACTCTAGCCCACAACACTAAAACAATTATCTCAAATCTACTTGTGCACATCTAAAGTCGAAGGGCATAAATATAAAATAACGCTAAGTTAAAAGGCATATTTATGTATTGTGTCTTTTAATTTTGCGAAATTTGAATAATAAAATTATTATTGATATTCAATCCTGAGAACTTTTTCTGTTTTGACAAAATAGATATTTGTAATAATTTTCCCATAAACAAAACTTTTTGAATGATCACATTGTGAATGTTATTGTTTTGTTGATATGAGGAGAAATCTTCAAATTTATATAGTTTCAAATTTTTCTTCTAAGAAAATATTAATTAAATATGGAAGAGAATTATATTTTCCTTATCGAAAATGTTCAAGCATTTATGGTAATACTTTGACTTTACTTAAAGAAAAAAATAATAATTTAAAATATGATGAGAAAATCATGACAAAATCCTAACAATATACCCCTCAACTTTGTCATTTAGAGTTGATATGTCACTCGTTACAAAAGTGGCTCACTTATGCCCCCACCGTTATAAAATTGACTCACATATACTCCTTACCTTTACAAAACAAAAGTGGCTCACGTATACCATTACGAAAGTTATAAAATTTATTTTTAAATATTTTGTTTTATTTTTAATATTTAAAAAATCATGTATTTAGTCCTTTTCACTCATAAATCATTTTTTTTGACTTCTTTGATTATTATTATTATTTGAGTTTCTTATTTTTATTTCAGTTTTCTTTTATTCTGTAGTGTAAAATAAGAGAAATAAAAAGAAAGAAGTGTGAATGAAAAAACGAAAAAAAAACTAAAACTATTTCTTTTGCAGGTATATTGTACTTTAGTTTTTTATATCGTTAAACTTTTTTTAGGACATCCATAATAAATTTTATATGAAAATAAGTGAAAAGAATTAATTTATCCATAAACACAAATTAGCGTTTGAATTAAAAAAGCAAAAAAAACTTGTGAGAAGGATACAATATAAACTTACATAAATTATTATGAAAGTTAATTTAAAATTAATTTTTGCACTTCCATTAAAGGAAAAAGAGTATATGTGAGTCATTTGTGTAATTATAGGGAATTAGAGATATATATGAGTTACTTTCAAAACAACTGCATATTATCTCCAATAAATTTGGCTTGAATCCTGAGATTCTACATGAATGGAAACCTTCCCCTCCACTTCCCCCGTGTGTATATATATATATATAAGTATCTGCTCTCTGTTTCCTTCATTAATTCATACACACACAGTGCAGGAAAAGAAAAAAAAAACAAGAAAATAAAGATTTAGTTTAACCGTTTTCTGGAAATGAGTAACCCGTCGGAGCGTCGTTACAGGGCGGAGCAATTGATAATGAATCTTGGTGAGAGTAGTATTCGCGAAGATGTTCTTATTGAACTCAACAATTTCATCATAGAGCAGTCAACTGAAGCAATGCGCATGGATCTTGGATTTCACTTGTGGAACTCTGAACTTACACTCACCATACTTTTACAGGTAGCTATGTCTTCCAATTGCTTCGTTGTAACTTCACCACTCTTAATTGATTTATGGATCTAATTTTGATTTTAGGAAGTAGTAGCAGTGTACCCCAAGCTTTTAGACCCAACATTAACTATGGCGGAATGTACTCGACTTTGTAATGCTCTTAATGTAATTCAGGTGAATATACGTTTCGGTTCTGTGTATCGTCACATGATTTTCATATAGCCTATAAAGGCGATAGTCAGTGCCTCATAATTAATCTTTTATGAGTGCAGTGTATGGCTTCTCCACCCAGATGCAAGAATCGGGCTCCTCAAAGGTAGCAACAACAAATTGCTTATTTAGATTGTGACACGGAACAAGATTTATTTCAGTTGTTTATTCTTCTAACACTATTCTTTTTTATGCAGCAAACATACCATATTTTCTTAATCCATTTCTCCGAATCTCTGAAAATGTGATGAGGCCTCTGCGATTTGTGACACTTAGCATCTTGAATCTTATTTCTGCCCTAGCAAAGGTCATAATACAGTACCTAATTTACCTTTAATGCACCAGAAGCATGTGATATATCATAATCTGATCCTAACGAGTACTAATTATACGATTTCTTGTGCAGTTCGATGAGTCATATGGGCAAGAAATTCTTCTTTTATTGCTAGACACACAAGTAGTTCCTTTATGCATGCACTGCATCCTTCATGGTGATCAACTGATACGGAAGGTTAGTTCAGTGATCATCCGAAATGCTTCTACTGTGATCAACTTTTATACATGTAGTTCATATGAAAATAATTTGAATTAACCAGAATAAAAGATCACAAAATTAAGAACAAAGCAGAGGAGGGGTTTTGCCAAGAAGGCCCTTCTTTGTTTCTTTAAAAGAAAGTTTAGAATGGAAGAATTGAAGAAATGACCTGGTGATATCGTTTAGTGTTGATATCATCCACGTCATAGTAATGTTTGTTTTCATGATTCTGGTCCTCTCTCTTTTCTTCTCATTCTGGTAATAAGAGAGTGTATTTGAGTCGAAAATGGTCAAATACTCCCGAGAGTTTTTACATCCATATAGTTTTCTCATGTAATGTTCCAGCAGCTTGAGTCCTTACACAGTGTAATTCATTTGAAAGTGAGACCATGATAAGAAAACTGTCTTTTTCAACCTTTTTTCTGAATTACTATTGTTGATATGTCTGTGCAGGTTGCAACACTCATACTTATGAAAATCTTGATGCAAGAGAAAGGGCTAAAATATTGTTGTGCTCTCCCCGCTCGTTTTCTGTTAGTGATACAAGTCCTGCGTCAACTGGTAGACACATTTACTTCTGAAATCCCTTGCTCACAGCAGCTAAAATATGTTGTTCAATGCTACCTAAGTCTTTCGCGAGTAGCATGGGTAGGCGGGTAATTTGTTTTTGTCCCTGCTGCTCTTGTGGTGAATTAGTCTCTAATTATCAACAACATTATTGTTTGATTTGATCTTTCCCTTCATGATACAGGGTATATGATACAGTGAGAACCAATATTCCAAAACAGCTAATTGACAACACTTTTGGCATCATTACTCGTGTGAGTCCATCGTCTTATTTCTTCCCACAGATCAACATCCCTCTAGATAATGTACAAAACCAAAATATACTTTATGATATTAAGTAGTAATTTTGTGTTTAATTTGCAGGACGATCCAGAGTTCCAAATATGCTGCATCAGTTAGTGTTGAATCTAACTCGTCAACCATCACAATAATTGCTAGTAGATACAGCTAGCAAAAGTGTTGGGAAGTAACTAGTAGAAAGAGCTACCATATATAGAGATTAAACTACAACAATTTTGCAGCTTTACTATGTAATGATTTTGAATATGAACCTCTAACTAGTCTTACTGCTTGCTGAATGAACATTCTCCTTTTACTATTTTGCTGTAAGAAGTTCTTGTCAATGTCGTTATCTATACCAGATGCAACATATTCTTCTATTCGGAGTGTACCACTGAGGTCTATACATGGCAAAATTTTGATAACTTGTGGTGTTAGTTCTTCATCGTCTAATGATGCCTCGGCTTCAGTTTGATCATTTGTGGTGTGGAAGTCCTATGGTATCTAGTGTATTATGAACACTACCGTTCAGGCCACAAAACGAAACAGAACGAAGTGACTGGTTTACAAATTAAATTTTGAAAGTAGTATGATGCCACATTATCTCAAGTGTCTGTATAATGAGGTTAGTCTCAAGGACTCATGAGAGAAAAGGTTCTCATAATAGTCAATAGCAGCTTCTGAGATATTATCCTCCCCTTCTATCTACTGATTCTATGAATATGAAGTCTCTTCCTTCTACCTTTGATCATGTTATGGAAATATTTTGTCTCCTTCTAAACTCAACTTTAGCCTGGCTTTCTGCTTCCAAAAAGAATGTACATTCTTCATGTATTTTGCTTTGAGTTTGTTCACCTCATTTCTGTTGTTGGCATTATCATCTGCCTAGAGCTTCTGTTCTCCTTCTTCAATCTTTTTTTCAAAACTTTTAGCCTCTTCAAAGATGTCTCTAATCACTGTTTTAGACAATAGAGAGATACATAGGGGAATCTTCGGAAATATGGCTCACTTCGCAATTGTTCAGTATCTAAGGTGATTACACATTGTTCCAGAAGAGCCAAACTTTGTTGTTGACATTAGAGAAACATCCAGACATACCAAATTTCCGAGAATAGTGGTGTATTTTTGAACCATCCACCAAAGGTTCTTGGATAGCAAAGAGTGAAATTTTGTGTCTCTGAATAAGAGATATAACAATCTCAGTTGTACCTTGCAATAAAGTCTTCCTTTTTCCCATATCGTACAACAGGAAGAGTTTGTCAGAAATCACCTCCTAAAACTACTGCTTTTCCACAAAATCATAAATTGTCCATCTACATGAAAATGACAGCTAAAAAGACGTGAAAGACGACTAGCAGCCAAGGGTCTGGCTTAGTGATCGATAAAGTGAATTGAGCACCATGAAGTCTCACGTTCAAATCCCAACAAAGACAACATATATATTTGTATTTGACTGACTCCATTTGCTCCTTATTTTCATTCACATTGTGAGATATTCATAGACAGATACCTTAAAATAAGATGCTGAGCTAAAATAACCTAATTTGGACTGTTAAAGACAATCAAAAGACTCTAATTAGACTTGAGTGGAAGGGCTAAAAGTGGTCTGTGACTAAACTTTCAAGCAAAATGGAGCTTTGACACCAGCTAGAGCAAGAATAGATGCTGGAATTCCCCACAATGAGTCACCACATATTAGACCAGAAGCCATTGCAGGTCCAAAATCTTTAGCCTTCTGCTTGTTATACATTTGCCAACCGAGTAGGATCAATGAGCCTAGACACATGTCGATGGCAAAGTAGCCTCCAAGGTAAAATGGTATGGCCATGCACATTGGACTCGGAATGAATCGATAAATTCTATACTTGGTCTCAAATTTCTTCAGCAGTTGAGTCACTAAGTTGATGAGAATAGCAGCCAGAAAGAAGCAAAGAAGCCACATGAATGCCCACGAGACTATATCACCCGTTAGCAATGATATGTTGACCATGTAGGGGCAAAGCATACCAACTCCAACATAGGTAGATGAGAAATCAAAATATAACCTTTTGGCATATGCTTGGGAACCAAATGTATGCAAGCTAGCAAATCCACAGCATTCATCACGTGCAAATATCCACTGAACAGCCCCAAATATAAAGCTGAACCCAAACGATTTGAACAAGGAACCAACTTGTTTCTTGGCAAGCTCTGCTCTTTTAGGAGTGTGGAAACAGTTGATCAAGTATGCAGTTGCGGTTCCACTTGGATACGTCAACTTGTACTTCATTATCATCATCTTTCTTAAAGCGACAATTGAGAATAAACCGGCAAAGCTAACAACAAGAAGATAAGGAAGCATCCAAGTAATAGCAAGATTCTTAGTATTAATTGGTAAATTTCCTGAGATGCTATGTATGGACTCATTCCCAACATATAACTTGCTGTCCCACTGCTAAAAGCAATTCCAGAAGAAGCAACGACACACGTCTGTATGATGGTATTTTCCTGTCTAGTAAAAGGCTGTTTCAACATTCCAAATTTCTGAGTAAGAGACGTCCATGATTTAATTCCGGCAAATCCCAATAGTCCAGCAGCGACATTGAGAGAAGGGATAAGTAACTAATTATATTTGAACGAACTAGCAAACAAAGAAAGAGAGAAAGTGAAAAGTGAAAAGTGAAAAGTAAAAATTTGGTGAGAATAATTTTAGGTGGTGTGTTACGTCTATTTTTACGTCTATTTATAGTATAAGTTAAGAAATAACGTTTCCTGATTTGAGATGGAATGGGAATAACAATAATTAAACCACTTTAGACGGTTTTTGTTTAGTCTAATTTGACATGAAATGGGAAAATAAGTAGTACTTTTCCTCATCCCACTCAATCTGAATGGAATGAGATTACCAAAATAAACTATTTTGTAATTTGATATCGAATGGGAAACTGTAGGAAAAACTTACCAAAATAAACTATTTTCCTAAATTAACCAAGGTCTTTTTGTAGAATATATAAAGTACTTTTGACGGTTACAAAAACAATTAAACCGTTTTTTTATATTTTCTTTCTCACACTAGTCCCTCCATTTAATATTAGTTGTCTACATTACTATAAATAATTATACTAAATTATTTGTTAATTTGCAAAATCAAAATTGTTACAATTAATTATGTTTTATCCTTGTAAATTTGGATTAGCTTATTTTGAGTGCTTCTAAGCTAAAATAATTTTTCAACACGAGTATTTTGATAAGTTTAAAGAGTGCTTATAAGCACTTACTTTTAAAATAAAACGCTAAAAATAAGCCACAAGTTAGAAATTCTAACTTATGACTTTTGGCATATAAGTAAAAAATGAAAAGCCAATCGAAACAGGCTAAATTCTCATGTTTGGTTGGTGAGTGGAAAATATGTTTGAAAAGTTATGTTTTAGATTTTGTTTGGTAAATAAAAAACATTTTCCGGAAAATATCTTCTATTTTATGCGAGAGTAGAAAATACTTTTTAGGAAAATAGTTTTAGGCCTGGAAACCAATTTTGGTAACCGATCCAAGATTTGAACCCGATAACCCGAACCCGACGACAAAATCGAGATCTGACCCCAACACCCCATCCATAAAATGATCCCAACTCCCGACTTAAGATTCAATGTCAACCTCGACACCTAAACTGGGACACGACCCCGACGAACAATATGGGATTCCACCCCGAGATTCGACTCAAGATCTCACCCTAACTCCCAATTGGAACCTGACTTTCAAACTGAGACTTGACCCCGACATCCAAACCTAGACAAGAAACGGACACGAGACCTGAACCTGACTCCCGACTCAGAATTCGACATTCAAACTAGACCTAACCCAATTCTCGACCCCAACACCTGACCTTGATGAGTGATTCAGGATCTCGACATCCGACTTTGGACCCGACTTCAACCTCGACCCTGATCCCGTCATCCGACCCCAAATTGGGACCTAATACCCAAATTGAGATCTAACACCTGAATCAGAATACGACACTCAAATCGGGACCCAAAATCTGACTTCTGAACTGGATCCCACCTCAACATCCGACCTAAAATTCAACTTTCGAACCGAGACCCAACTACACCATCGGATTTGAGATCCAAATTTCGAACTAAGACTCGACCCCAACACCTAATGTGTAACCCGACTCTAACATCTGACCCCGACTCTCGATCCAGGACCCGACTTTCAAATCGGAACCCGATCCTGACTCTCAACGTGGGATCCAAATCCAATATCTGACCTGAGATCCAACTTTCAAATCGAGATATTATATCTACTCTAATTAATCCCAAATATCCAAAGAGAATAACTTCACAAGATCACTCCAAAGAAAGGGTTCACACAAGTGTTTCCCAACACAAACTCTTTTACAAAATTACTCTTAATCGAAAGACAAAGAAAGAAAGCAACGGAATATTTTCATATGCTTGAAGGTGTATTTCAACTAATGTCTAAGCTCCCTATTTATAGAGAAAAAATAGGCTTGTTGATGTCATGGATGATGTCTTTGGAAGATACAAAATATTCAACAAATCTCAATGTGAATATATAAAATATGGTGGCTTCCAAATCTTTGACAAATATAGTTGCAAAATATTTGACAAATATGGCTACCAAATTTCCACATTTATGGCTTCCAAATCTTTCACGAAAGATAAAATAAGTTTCTTCAATCAAACAAAAGGCCACATTACAAGTCTCCACTTTGTCTTGAGTTTGGTGAAAATATTAAATTTGCTCCATTCTCTCCGCAGAAGCCCATATGGGCTAAATTATTCTTCAGAAATGCCAATCAAGTTCAAACAAAGATTGAACTTGCTGACTGGAAGAGACTCCGTGAACATGCCGCTGGCAGGGTTGTCTCTTGTGTTAATCTTCTTAACAGAGACCTTTTCTTCGACAATGGTTTCCCGAATGAAGTGATACTTGATATCAATATGTTTCGTCCTCTCATGATACATCTAATCTTTATTCAAGTGAATGGCACTTTGACTATCACGTAAAATGATAATACCACCTTGGTGTGAGCTGAGTTCAGCAAATAGACCCTTCAACCATAAGGTTTCTTTGATCGCCTTGGTCACTGCCATATATTCTGCTTCGGTAGTAGATAAAGCTACTACATGTTGTAATGTAGCTTTCCAACTGATAGCACAACCACCAATGCAAAAAACATAGCATGTTAGTGATCTTCTTTTGTCAAGATCACCTGCATAATCAGAGTCTACAAAACCAACCAAAGTGTAGGATT